TAATTATTGATAGGTATGTACTTACTGATGTTTTGTTAATTGTTTTCTAGTTGTTTTCTGTTCCATTCTTCTACTCTGTTCCATTGTGGTTTGATGGTTTTTATAGTCTTATGTTTGGATTCCTTTCTCTTTATTTTTTTGTGCATGTGTTACAGATTTTAAGTTTGTGGTTACCATGGGATTCATATACAATATCCTATGTATATGGTAATCTATATTATGTTGAAGGTTGCTTAAGTTTGAACACATTATAAAAGCACTAAATTTTTACTCCCTCTTCCACATTTTACATATATGATGTCACATTCTGTATCCTTTTATTTTGTGTATCCCTTGAGTAATTTTTGTAGATATAATTGATTTTACTACATTTGCATTTTAACTTCTATACTGGCTTTATAAGTGACTAATCTACTACCTTTACTATACGTTTGCTATTACCAGTGAAATTTTTTTCCTTCTTAATTTTCTTCTCATTGTGGCCTTTTCTTTCCACTTAAAAGAGTCCCTTTAATATTTCTTATAAAGCTTGTTTGATGAACTCCTTTAACTTCCGTTTGTTTGGGATACTCTATCTCTTCTTCAGTTCTGAATGGTGGCCTTTCTGGGTAGAATATTCTTTGTTGTAGGTTTTTTTGTTTTGTTTTGTTTTTCTTATAGCACCTTGACTATATCATACTATTCTCTTCTGGCCTGTAAAGTTTCTGCTGAAAAAATCAGCTGATAGCCTTATGGGGTTCACCTTGTGTGTAACTGCTTTTCTCTTGCTGCTTTTAAGATTCTGTCTTTATCTTTAATTTTGTTTTAATTATGTGTGTTGGTTTTGACCTCCTTGAATTCATCTTGTTTGGGGCCCTCTGTGCATTGTGGACCTAGATGTCTATTTCCTTCTCCAGGTTAGGGAGGTTTTCAATTGTTATTTCTTCAAATAATTTTTCTGCTTCCTTGTGTCTCTTTTCTTTTGGTACCCCTATAATCCAAATGATACTTGGCTTGATGAGGTCACAGAGGTCTTTTAACCTATCCTCATTTTTTAATGTAGCTTTTTCTTTTTGCCGTTTAGCTTGGTTGCTTTCCATTACTCTATCTTCAAGATTGCTGATCCATTCTTCTTCATCCTCCACTCTGTTGAAGAAGTATTCTAGTATATTTTTCATTTTATTCTGTCCTTCAGTTCCAGCTGGTTCTTCTCTATCTTTTGTATCTCTCTGTTGAAGATCTCAGTCACTTCATCCACTCTTCTGTCCAGTTTAGTAAGTATCTTTATGGCCATTACTTTGAACTCTATCTGGCATATTGCTTATGTTTATTTTGATTAGGTCTTTTTTTGGTTTTGTCTTGTTCTTCTCATTTGGAACATGTTCCTCTGTCTCCTCATTTTGTCTACCTCTCTGTTTCTGTGTAATAGGTAGGTCAGCTATGTATACTGGTCTTGAAAGTACTCACCTTGTGTAGAAGGGACCCTGTTCCCTGTAATGCAGTCCCCCTGGTCACTAGAACCAGATGCTTCAGGAGTGTTGCATTGTTGCTGAGCCACGATTGCTGTGGGCATGCTGGTAGGTGTATCTCACTCTCAGCTTAGCTACATGTAATGACCTGCTTTGCCTGCTGCATGCACACTGGTGTGCAAGGCTTGCTCTCATCCTGGTTGTCTGCACTTAGCCACTGGGACAGCTTGGGTACACTGATGGGCAGCACTTGCTCCCTGCACAGCCAGCTTAGAGTCTTGGCACATTGGTGTGTGGGATTAGTTCCCCTCCTGCTCAGGCCTTGAGTCACATTGGAGAGGCACCTTCTTTGCTGGGGCTGCCCACCAGCTATGGTGGGGTGGAAGCCACTTTGGAGGAGCACCAAACCCAGGGTGGGTTAGGTGGGGCAGCACTGGGGTGGGGCACATTGTGCTAGAAAGGTAGATGGAGAGTGTTTGCACTGGCTCTGTAAGCATCTGGCTGGGCTTTGGGAGGGCAAGGAAAATATTGCCCTCCAGCTCTGTTGTTTCTGGAGAAAGCTTTTGTAGATCCCAGCACTTCCTGTACACATTTTCAAATTAGTTAGTAAATCTTGAAATATACCCAGGTGCTTTTCAAACTGCTCCTTTTGTGCTGTGATTATAACATTTCTTCTAACATTTTATGTATGTCATTTTATTGTGTTCTAGTTTATATGGTTCCTGGTAAAAAGTCTGCTTTAATTGTATCTTTATTCCTTTTTTGTAATATTTTCTTGTTCACTGGCTGCTTTCAGGATTCTCATTCTCAATCTCTCTCTCTCTCTAGCAGTTTTAATATGTTGTGTGTCTTTATGCTTTTGGGAGGCATTAATGCAGCTTGGTATTGTTGAACTTCTTGGATTTTTGGTTTGTTTTCTGTCATTAATTGCAACATTTTTTTTAAGATTTATCTGTTTATCTTTGGGGTGGCGGGGGGCTCCGAGGGACAAGAGAGAATATCTCAAGCAGACTCTCCATTGCCTGGGGACCCCGACGTGTGGCTCAATCCCACAACCCTGAGATCACGATCTGAGCCGAAATTAAAAGTTGGATGCTTAACGGACTGAGCCACCCAGGCAGCCCAGTTGCGAGTAATTTTAAGACACTATTTCTGAAAGTGTTTCTTCTGTCCCATTCTTCCCCCCACCCACGTCCAAATTATGTATATGTCGGAACATTTTATTGTATTTCACAGATTTCACAACTTTTTTTTTTAAGATTTTATTCATTTATTAGAGAGAGAGAGCACGTGCACAAGAGAGAGCATGAGAGGGGTGAGGGGCAGAGGGAGAAGCAGGTTCTCCATTGGGCAAGGAGCCCAGTGCAGGACTCAATCCCAGGACTCCAGGATCATGACCTGAGCTGAAGGCAGCTGCTTAACTGGCTCAGCCACTGTGGCACCCCTATTTCACAGCTTTTTAATGTTATGTTCTATTTTTCACTTTTTTTGTCCTTAAGTTTCAGTTTGGGTAATTTCTCTTGACCCATCTTCAAGTTCATTGATTCTTTCCTTAACTCTGCTGATTGCTGATCAGCCTTTTGAAGATGTTTTTCATCTGTTACTGTGTTCTCATTTCTAGATTTCCATTTGGTTCTCTGCTGAAATTATCCATTTGATTTTGCATGTCATGTACCTTTTGAGTCTTAACATACCTTAGAGTCTTTAACATAATTAGTTATAATTCAAGTTCTGTTGGATAGTTTCGACATCTATGTAATATCTGTTTCTGATGGTTACTCTGTATCTTGGTAGTATTTTGTTAGTTTCTTTCCTTTTCATATGCTTTGTAACTTTTTGTTGAAATGTATATATCTTGTGTCATACTCTGAACTGGGGTAACTACGTTTCATTGCTGGAAATGGGTAATTCCCTGCTAGGCCTTTAGTCCAGGGGTTTAACTAGTTAGGAGTTTGGCAGGATTTGAGAGTTATTTTTCTGTTACTACTCTCAATGAGGCATAGACTTCGACTTTCTGTAGAGATACCTTGTGTTTTAGGATACAGGTTCATTTACCAGAGCTATTTCTGTTCAATTCTGAGTTTTAAGGGTTCTCTTTGCTCTGTGTCTCAGAGAGGGTCTCTTTACATGCTTTTATTTATTTCCTGTCTTTCAGTCAGCAATATTCTATTGGTACTTGTTATTCTAAGCTTGTTAGCTTGGTGATGAGAAGTTGTGGGCAGAATGTGTTGTCTCACTCCAATATAGCGTCAGTGTTAGGTCTGCCCTGTCCCCCCACCCTTTTTTTTTTTTAAGATTTTATTTATTTATTTGACAGAGACAGACAGTGAGAGAGGGAACACAAGCAGGGGGAGTGGGAGAGGGAGAAGCAGGCTTCCCACTGAGCAGGGATCCTGATGCGGGGCTCAATCCCAGGATCCTGGGATCATGACCTGAGCAGAAGGCAGATGCTTAACAACTGAGCCACTTAGGCACCCTGCTCTGTGTCCTTATGTCTGTCCTGTGTCCTTCTTGGTTCTCTTGCCCCTCCCCACCCCCCCGCACCCAGCTATAGTTGTAGACTCAGTGCATAATCCTGCCCTCCCTCAAGGAATAGAGTAAATGCCCAGTGGGGTTCACAGAGAAAAAGCCTGTAAAGGGGCGCCTGGGTGGCATGGTCAGTTGAGTATCCTGCTCTTGGTTTTGGCTCAGGTCATAATCTCAGAGTCATGAGATCGAGCCCTGCAGGGAGCTCTGTGCTCAGTGCAAAATCTGCTTGAGACTCACTCTCCCCCTGTCCCTCCTCTCCTCTCTAAAATAAATAAGCAAATTAAAAAAAAAAAAAAGGCGGGGGAGAGGGGGAGGAAGGAAAAGAAAAGATGCCTGTAAGAAGGTGCAAGTCTCCTCCATGTCTGTGGTCTGAAGGGGTTTCACACTCACAGGCCCTACAGCTTTAACTCTTCAATTAAGCACAAGTTGTGATATGAGATAGTTAATCTTTCTTTTCTGACTCCAGTATACATTTTACATTTTCTTTACTTTTTACATATTCTTTTTTTTTTATTTTATTTATTTATTTGACAGAAAGAGACAGCAAGAGAGGGAACACACAAGCAGCGAGAGAGGGAGAAGCAGGCTCCCTGCAGAGCAGGGAGCCCAATGCAGGCCTTGATCCCAGGATCCTGAGATTATGACCTGAGCCGAAGGCAGCCGCTTGATGACTGAGCCACTCAGGCGCCCCTACTTTTTACATATTTTAATATGTTCTAGTAATATCTTATTTTCAATTTTGGACTGTGTTGTGTCTGTGTAATATTTAGTTTTCTAGAGAACAAGAACAGTGTTTTATTCTCCTTAGTGTTCACATCCAGGGCATTTCAAGGTGTAGAGCATTAATAAAATAAGCAGAATGTTCTTTTACTTTTCTTCTATAAAACCTAATACAAGGTAATGTACACAGTAGGCATATTGTAACATCAATTCTCAACAGTGGGAAGAATTTGTTTCCATATTTCTTTCCTGTGCCGCCCCAATTGTGACCACTTCAGACTGAGCAGAAATGTGCTGTTCCAGGGGTCACTGTCATTTGGAGATGTGGCTGTGGACTTCTCCCAGGAGGAGTGGCAGTGCCTGGACCCTGCTCAGAGGACCCTGTATAAGGATGTGATGCTGGAGAACTACAGTCACCTTGTCTCAGTGGGTAAGCAGTTTTCACATCAGATTTTGTATAGCATGCATTTTATTTCTTAGATACCAAAACTTTTGATCTTTCAGAGTTAATATTGTTGAGACTTTTGCTTCAGGAGTCTGAGGTTATTAATCTCTTTTGAGCACAAGGAACAATTTTTGTATTGTCACATCCTGTGAAGGTTTAAATGAGCATCATCAAGGTGCAGCTCTGGAAATTCTATGTCCTCTCTCCTTTAGAATTGCTGTAGCCCATGTCCAAACTATGTCGTTTTTCCTTTTACAGGGTATCTCATTAAAAAGCCATCGGTGATCTTCAAGTTGGAAGAAGGAAAGGAGCCATGGATATTGGAGGAAGAATCTCTATACCAGAACTACCCAGGTGAGTTAGTGAGTACCAGAAAGGTTAGTGAGGAACCCAGGGGGGATTATAATCTAGGTGGTCAGTCTAGGAGTTGGACATTATTTAAAATGTTTTCTAAGAATCTCTTCCTAGTATCACCTACTTTAGAAGTAGAGGAAGAATATATATATGATAAAATTAGAAGAGAAAAGGGTAATGCTTGAGAAGGAATGTAAACTGTTTTTCTGATTGTTCAAATTTAGGGGTCCAGGGATATCATTTATGCAGACAAGCAAGTAATACTGGCTTTTTTGTGTTTAATAGCACAAAGATAAAACTAAGAAAGGTAATAAAGTCTACTAAAATTTGGTTCTTGAGGAGAAGGGAGGAAACAATGTTTTCAGTGTTACGTGTTGTATAGTAGTACTTGATACTATTTAAACAAATTACCTATAGATTAATAGGATTACAAGTTCATATTCATCAGATTAATGTAACAAAACTACAGTCTCCTTAATTTTACAGTTATCCTTCTGTTGGTACCTAAAAAAAAAAAATGAGAAAAAGACCTATTTTAGTGCCTAAAAAACATTTGCAAACAAGTGGAAGTGTATTTGATGCTAAAAGGAAACCCTCGGTAAATCCTACGGAGTAGGAAATAAGACATTCCCTAGTTATAGTCTGATAAAACCAGAAATTGGTAACAAAATTATTAAGCACACGTGACAAACTATTTCTTTTGTATTCTTGAGTATTTTTTCTTTGTAAGCTTCTAATATTTTTCATGTTCTTGCTTTACTTCAATATCAGTAAGAACTATATTCCCTCATGCTTTTATTTTTTCCCCATTCCTAATTGTAGTTGGTGAGAATTTTTTTGTTCTTGATGGTGGTAATTTTGTATTTTTGTTTGCCTAGAATATGTCTTTTTTTTTAGTAGCCTGACAAGATAAATCTATGCTCCCCCTATTATTTATTTCATGAAATTTAAATTAACTTGCCTTTTATTGGCTACTGCATTCTGCCTTATTTGGCTGCTCCAATTTTATTTTTATGTTGTTTACACTCAGGCTAAACATCATTAGATCCACTCGCATCAAATGTCACTTAGGCATACTGTATGCTTTCCCATGTCACACCTTTCTTGCTTTCCCTGACTAGATACTAAATGAATTAATAAGTGAAAATTACTCAGAACATTTTTTAGTATATAAGTAAAACAGTGTTTTTACTGCTATTATATTGAATGTCCTTATAGTACAAGTTAAGTGTATCTGCTTCTAAGAAAGAGACTTCAAATGTTTGAGCCAGTGTAATCTCTTCTTTCTCTCAGTGCTCAGTGTGCAGTGGGTCTTTCAGAAAAAACAAAAGTAAATGATCTGTTACCTGATAATATCTACCTTTTTTCACACTTGGGGTATGATCTAACAAAGAAAATGGCGATTGTGTTATTCTTTCTTACTTTGGTATATAACCTGAAATAGGCATTTGATAAACACATGTTGATTGGAATCAAGGAGAGGAAAAATTTCATATTCTGAAAACGTGAAGGATCTCTGTCTGATTACTTACATGAACCTGTAATTCCTGATTCAGGAATAAAACGGCATAGTGTCTAAACATTTGTGTTTGAAAAAGCTCTCCAGGTAATGCTCATACACCCAGCGTGTTGAAGTCTATTGATTTAAAATTACTCAGGTTCACAGAAAATCAGACTTAACAACACCCTGTTATGAGCAGTGGTTATAAAGTATGGTCTGCAGACCTACCACATGTTTTTGTAAATAAAATGTTTTTGCGACACAACCATACTCCTTTGTTAACAATATGGGCTTTGGCCAATTTCATGCTCTAATAGCAGAGTTCAACATTGTGACAGACAGGTATGGCCTGCAAAATCTAGAATGTGTACTATTTTGCCCTTTAAGGAAAGGTGTGCCATCATCTGGATTGAAGAATGAGAATAAAATTTCATGAACCACTTTAAATTCAGCATTTAATTAAGAAGAAAATTGTCATTCTCTCAAATCTAAGAAGCCATAGATTGTAACTAGACCATTATGTGATGAACCACTAAGGAAAAAATATTCTGCTCATTATATTGTGGCCTGCTTATCACAGATCTGTTATCAATTATAAGATGCATTCTGATTTTAGAATGTTAAATATGTGTATATTGCATTAGATGAAGTACAGTATATATTACAAAGCAGTGCTATTTATGGTTGTGTTAAAAGAGCTCGTCTATTTTTAGATTTAGAATGAATATAAGTTTGAAAGTTTTGAAAGTGGGAAGATTTGAAAAGTCATTCTTGAAGGTTTGGAATAATGGTGTTATGTCATTTTTCTAGATACTGAATAGTGTACATCCTAGCCTTGGCTCTGAGTGAGAGAACGCACTTTGACCTTGTAGTCAAGAATGAGTAATTTAGGGCGCCTGGGTGGCTCAGTTGGTTAAGCGACTGCCTTCGGCTCAGGTCATGATCCTGGAGTCCCTGGATCAAGTCCCGCATCGGGCTCCGTGCTCGGCAGGGAGCCTGCTTCTCCCTCTGACCCTCCCCCCTCTCATGTGCTCTCTCTCTCTCATTCTCTCTGTCTCAAATAAATAAATAAATAAATCTTAAAAAAAAAAAAAAGAATGAGTAATTTAATGAGACAAAGAACTGACTAAACTGGTGCAGAGGATATTGACTGGGGAGTTGTAGAATGGCAGCTTGAAATTTGATGTGCATTTAGTTGGTGTAAATTTTGTTTGTTGTGGTTTTTTAGCTTGGGATAGACTTCGTTGCACTGGGTAGCAAATGTGGACAATGTTTTTTAAATGGTAAATCAACATAAATGTTACTCATTTCTTGGGATTTGGTTGGAAATATATGATCCTTAAATTTTGATAATAAACAGAAACCTGAAATGTGGACGTGTGAAATGTGAAAGATAAACCAAAATTAAGTATTAGTATTTTGGCACTGGTAATGCTATTTTATGGAAAAGTAAGTGAACACAAATGTGATTATCATGGTAGGTTCACCTGTTGAGTGGCTATAGTAGAGCAATATGAAAGTATCAAAGCCAAAATAGGGTGATACATCAGATCTATGTTGGCACAAGATTACTTATTTTGTCATTATTTTATACTTTATTTAGGGATGTTGGCATTCCTCTTGGGAGGGGAATTAGAGTACAGTCTGATGACTTTCCTTGAACATAAGGCCATTGGTGCATTCAGAAATTTATCTTGCTATTGTGTAGGAGGAATTCAACTGGAAGCATGAAAACTTGTTTGGGCGTTACTAAAAAATATAGATTTGAGAGTATTAGACCTAGTCTGTCTCCTTAATGTCTCTTTTTTCTCCATGAACACCTTTGTCTACTCATTTTTCTTGTGATTCCAATTACTTTTCGTTAGCTCAGTTGGACCCATCTTAACTTCTGTGATTTTTCTCATACCTGGATCTGTAGAATCTTCCATCCTCTCTTCGCTGCTTCTTGAATTTATGTCTTCATTTTCTTTCTTTTTCCACATATGTTTTCTTGAACTGGGTGGGAAAAAGGCACTTTGATCCTGAGGTACTACTGAAACCAAAAGTCAAATATATAATAGAACATTTGTATGTTAATCCAGTTCCATTGGAACTGTAAAATTCTTATGGTTTGTTCAATATTTTCATTTCTAGAAGACAGCAAAGCTTACCTAACAGAGGGAATCCAGAAAAACCAAGACAAATATTTGCCACAAGTTTTATTAAACAACAAAACAGTGACTTCAGAGAAAGTTTATGCTTTAAGAAAATCATCTAATATGAATACAAAGTTTATTCCTTTAAGAAAAATGCCTTGTAAACATGACTTACATGGAATGAATTTGAAAAATATTTTAATATCAGTTGGTAGTAAGAGAAATTCTTCAAGAAAAAAGCCTCCCATGTTAAATGTATATGAGAAATTACTTGATATTAAGCAGGAAAAACCTCATACTCAAGAGATTTCTCATGAAAATAATCAATATGAGAAAGCCCTTGGTCATAAGAATGGTATTACTCAGCATGTAAATAGTCAATCTTCAGAGAAGACTTTAAAATATGATGGTGGAAAGTCCTTAGGAAAAAAGACCACAGTAATTCCACACAGGCAAATTGACACAGGAGAGAAAATCTGTGAATATAATGGACATGGACAAACCTGTGAGAAGGCATCTCTCTTGAAATGTCATGGGGTCTCCTTCGAAATAAAACAATGCAAAGGCAATCAGATTGAAAATAATTTCAGCAGGATGTCACATTTCACTAAAGTTCAGAAAAAACAGAGACATGAGTGTCTATTCAAATGTAGTGAATGTGGGAAAACATTCAACTACAAGTCAAACTTCACAGTGCATCAGAGAACACACACAGGAGAGAAACCCCATGAATTTAATTCATGTGGGAAAACAAGTCACAAATCACCTCTCACAGACCATCAGATAACACATACAGGGGAGAAACTTTATAAATGTAGTGAATGTGGGAAGTCCTTTTGTAAGAAGTCATCTCTTACTCGACATGAGGGAACATATGCAGGGGGGAAACCCCATGAATGTAATGAATGTGGAAAAACTTTCTGCAAGAAGTCAGCCTTCACTCAACATCAGAGAACTCATACAGGAGAGAAACACTTCCAATGTAATGAACGCAGGAAGACTTCCCGCCGCCAGTCAGACATTAAGGTACATCAGAGAATTCACAAAGGAGAGAAACGCTTCCAATGTGATGAATGCGGCAGAACTTTCCATTGGCAGTCAGACATTAAGCTACATCAGAGAATTCACACAGGAGAGAAACCCTTTCAGTGTAGTAAATGTGATAAAACTTTCTATCGGCAGGCAGATGTTAATGCACATCAGAGAATCCACACAGGAGAGAAACGCTTTCAGTGTAATGAATGCGGTAAAACTTTCTATTGGCAGTCAGACGTTCATGCACATCAAAGAACTCACACAGGAGAGAAACCCTTTCAATGTAATGAATGTGGTAAATCTTTCCATCGGCAGTCAGATGTTAATGTGCATCAGAGAACTCACACAGGAGAGAAACGCTTTCAATGTAAGGAATGTGGTAAAACTTTCTATCGGCAGTCAGACGTTAATGCACATCAGAGGATTCACACAGGACAGAAATCCTTTCAATGTAAGGAATGTGGTAAAACTTTCTATCGGCAGGCAGACGTTAATGTGCATCAGAGAACTCACACAGGAGAGAAACGCTTTCAATGTAACGAATGTGGTAAAACTTTCTATCGGCAGTCAGAAGTTAATGTTCATCAGAGAACTCACACAGGAGAGAAGCCCTTTCAATGTAATGAGTGTGGGAAAACTTTCTATCGGCAGTCAGATGTTAACGCACATCAGAGAATTCACACAGGAGAGAAACCTTATAAATGTAATGAATGTGGGAAATCCTTTTACGAGAAGTCATCCCTCACTCGACATGAGAGAACTCACACGGGGGAAAAGCCCTATGAATGTAATGAATGCAGGAGAACCTTCTGCCAGAAGTCAGCCCTCACTCAACATCAGAGAACTCACACAGGAGATAGACCCTTTCAATGTAATGTATGTGGTAAAACTTACCGTCATCTGTCAGCCATTAATGTACATCAGAGAACTCACACAGGAGAGAAACCCTTTCAGTGTCATGAATGTCAGAAAGCTTTTCTTACAAAGTCGACTCTTATTAATCATCAGAGAACTCACACAGGGGAAAAACCCTTTGAATGTAACGAATGTGGGAAGAGTTTTCGTCATAAATCTACCCTCACTACCCATCTGAGAATTCACTCAGGAGAGAAACCTTATAAATGTTGTGAATGTGGAAAAACTTTTGGCCGGAAATCAGCGCTTACTCATCATCAGGGAATTCACATAGGGTAGGAACTCTGTGGCAGAAACTTGCTCTGTTTTTCCCAATACCCATTTCTCTTTGTGGTTACACAACTAGTCAAGATTTTCTAGCTTTCCTTCCATTCACATGAGGCCATATGACTTCTGAAACAAATACCAAGCTTGTAAAGGACCTCATTTGGAATTTTTCCTACTCCCATTTTTCTTTCCTTATCAAAGGGTAATGGAGATCATCCTCAGGGTAACTTGGGAGCTAATCATTAGAGATTACAGATTCACAGGTTAGAAGATACCAGGGTCCTGCGCAGAGTTCTGCCTTCTCTAACATCACTTGTAAGTTTTGTCATGAACTGGAAATTAATTTCGGATTTGTTCAGCCATTACATGTTTAGGGCTTTTTGTTGTCATGGTATATCCTAGCCATCCCTCATCTCATATACCTTGTGAATCTAATGAAGGTATGAGAAACACTGTATGTCAGAGAATTCAGTGGGCAGGGAAACTGCTCTCAGTATTCTTCATTTTAATAAACTTTGATCAAGTCAAGCATTTTGTAAATCAGAAATTTACGAATTGAAACACCCCAAAATGAAATGGATATAGGAAAATTTTCACAAAAATCTACATCTGATTGACCATCAGATAATTGAGAGTGGAATAAAAGCTAATAACTTGAAAAACATTTCAAGATTGATTTATCAGAGAATACATAACAAAAGAAAATTGTCAGTTTAGGAAGTGAGGAAAACATCCTCATCTAGAAATAATCTTATTCTGGAAGCAATGTTTTGGATGCAATACTAAATATCTTATTAATAATCTAACACGGGATATTTATTTGACCGTCACAGTCAACAAGGAATATGTAGCTTTGAGAAGGCACAAGTGAGTTGAGTCATCAAAGCAACAGTACTAAGTGTATATGTGAATAATATATGTAAACCCAAAGTAACAGCACTAAATGTATATGTGAATAAAGTAACAGCACTTTGTAAACATCAAAGTAACAGCACTAAGTGTATATGTGAATAATATATGTAAACTGAAAGTACAGCACTGTCTATGTGAACAAAGTAACAGCACTGCTTATTTACATGAGTAATAATAAGCCTCTGAGCTTTGTTAGGCTTATACATAGGAGTGTGCTCTTTAACGGCTACTTTCTATATGCTTGATTTTTGTTGTAGCCTCCAAAATAGTTATAGTAGGAACAATGCGCCCTTAGCTAAATAATTTTTGTAACATACACTACGATTTCTGACACTAAATGCTATTGTTGTCCCATCATATTCTTACACCACAGTATATATTTTTTAAAAGAAGCGTTGAATGCATGAAATACCATGTGTCATGTGTGTTTTCTACTTTTTGGTGGCACGTGTAAATCAGTATAGACATTGTTAACAAACTATTCTTTTAGGAGATGACCAAATAACGACTGATAAAATCAAGATTTACTTGAAGTATGCAATGATTCAGTACACAGTTATTTATAGTACACATCTGAATCAATTTTCAAAATTGGCCTTGAACATTAGTACTTATTATTCTGTACAGATTGAAAGCAGGGCCTGTTGAAGAAATTTTCCCCATTTTATATTTGTGTTATATCCAAAGAATATGCTTATATAAGTTTTAAGTGTGAAGGTCAGATTTTATGTGAGCAAAAAACTATCTGCATTTGTATTTAGTGTGGTAGAATGCCACATTTTCCCTCCTACAATTATACGTGTTTTTTTTCAGACAAGCTGTTCTATGTCTGTCACTTATTATTTGAGTGACCTATGTAGTGATTTAATTTCTGCCTCAATTTCCTCATCTGCAAAATGGAGATAATATTATCTACCTCACAGATACTGAACAGTTTGGGTCAGAGTTTTCTGTTATTAGAGCTAAAGGCATTTATGTTTAGAACTTGAACATTAGAAATAAAATGGTCTGTCATTCCATAGTATGAAATGTATTTCTGCTTCTTGAGTTGATACAAGAAAAGTCTTACTAAAACTTTGTATTTTGTCAGGTTTGTCTTTAAAACATACGAAACGTGTTTAAAGTGAATAGAATCGTCTACTGACCTTTTTCTGTTGTTGATTAAATATGGTATGAACTAAAAATCCAACTTTGTTTTTTTCCAAATGAATAGCCAGTTGATCTTTCAGCTTTTGATTCATTCACCCCTATTTCACTGATATGAAACCACATTTTTATTGTATAGAGATTTATCCTTTGGTGTGGCTGTTACATTTCTAGGCCCTGTATTCGGGTCCCCATTATTCTGGTGGTGCACAATCCAGATGGGCCAACCATAGGACACCACCCTACTGCCCCACACCAATGATTTCACTGCTCTTCACTCTCTGCTTTTTGCTGCTTTGTATAAACTCATAGTGAATTTCAGTGGTTCTAGTAACATTCTGTCACATCACGCTTTGTGCCTTATCCTGAACACTATTCCTTTATTAAAACCAGCATAATGGTTTTGAGTTATGTCCGTGTTTATATATGTAGCTCTTGTAATTTTTTAGCATCTTATACTCCGTTCTATTAAAATAACTTAATTCTGTTGAAAGGCATCTTGTTTCTAATTTTTCATGATTATAAACAATACAATTTTGGACATTGTGTACTTTATCCAGAGTAGAGCTGATCCTCAACCCACAGTGAGAAAAACGTTTTAGTGACTATAAATACAAACATTTGTTGAATCGATCAGTATTTATTAGTCACTTATTAAGTAGAAGGCATTGTACAACAGTGAATAAAATGTAAGTTCTACTCTTCCTGAGATTAAATTGTAGTGAGACATACCAGGGTTGTCAGAAGACAGAAACCATAGCAGTGATTTGAACAGAAACAATATGATCTAAAGCACTGTTAACTTGGTATACAGTTGTTAACTGGGGATCTGAAAGGCTAAAAGGGCACACTGAGATATAAAGATAGCAGGAATCGAAAAGGGAAAAATGAAACCCAAATGTATCACTAAGATAGCAACTGCAGGCCGCAGATACCAGCTCTAGGCTGGACAAATGAAGGGACGGGGTGGGGGGGGCCTCCCTCAGAGCTGAAGTGTAGGCCTCTGAAAGGAACCTGTCCCACTGATGTGGGTATCGGAGCCCAGAGGAGGGGCCTCTCGGGATTGGGCCCATACTGGCTGAGGAGAGAGTGCTGGTTGCCTGGCACTGGTTTATCTGATGGGGCATGATGACGCGGGTGTGCGAGTGTTAGAAAAACTGCAAATGGAATTTAGCTGCGTCTCTCAGAAGACCCCATGCCTGAATGGGGTGTGAAGCAGCATTGCTAGGGTGCTGACAGCACAGGATGTGGACGGAAAGCCCGGGAAGAAGCACGTCCCTTTGCCCTCCTCCATCCTTGCAGTCCTCAAGCATATACTGTTGGCCAAGCATGACAGCTGGTAAAACGTAAGTGTGGTTATAGTGGGAAAAGTCGGCTGACCCAACCCAGTCAAGCAATAGAAGTTAACATAAATAATACTGACATTTGGTATCATTCAATAGTATTGTATTTGTGTGCCATCTAATAGGATTAATACATCGGGATTAGTTTGTCACATGATTTTTTTGGAGGGAAGAAGTGATATGGGACATAAACATTCCATCTGTAGCGTTATTTCTTCATTTTTATTATTTTTATTTTACAAATAATACTGGAATATATTCTTTTTTCAAATTACAGCTATTCCTTTCTTTTCCCTTCCCTTCCAGCACAAGGACAGCAGTCCCATTGCAGGTCAGTGAGGTGAAGAGAGGAGCTCCACACAGAGGAACGGAGTAGCACTACTGTTCCTATCACAGAGACATGGGACACTGGGGAGTTGGTGGCTAAGGAGATTATAGATAGAGGAAATTGTTGGCGTGGTTGGAGATTGATTGCATTGAGGGGAAGATGAATGTATTGAAAATGGGAGCCAAGTTTCTCCCTGTTGAAGGTATTTATAAATATAGAAAGGTGGAAGATGGAACAGAACCCCGAGGTGTTGAATCAGAATTGGAGGTATTGGTAGGAATTGATCATTTTTTAAATATATGTACACTGATAGACCTAGATACATTTATAGGTGTGTGTGTACATATGTGGGTCGACACATGCACATGTATATGCAGATATACATGTGTGTATACAAACATACACATGCATGTGTGTGTGTGTATGAATGTCCTCCATACACAGATTTCCTAGCTCTTTATGCTGAGATTGCTCAGAAGCAACTCCATCCCAGGAGCTATGAGCACTAGCTTCCAGAGTTTGGTTTCTAGATACTGTCTTCCACTTAAAGGAAGCAGAAGTCCTTGGTAAATGCCTGATTCCAGACCTGGGCCTGGAAAAGCAGATGAGCCTAAAACATCTTCCTGTGAGAGCAGGCAAGGAATGGCTCAACGAATAATGGGGGCATAGCAAAAGTTACTATAAGACCATCTTGAAGATGCTCCTATTGGCCAAATCTGGAACAATTTGAACACAAAAATGAATAGTAACAATGGAGTATAACCTATGGTATAAAACAGAAAGCCATGAATCCATACTGAGGTAGAAATAAGTAAGTGGGGAGAAGAGAAATCTCTTCCTTACTAGTAAATGTATGAGGAATAATGGAAATAGAAAACCAGTATTTGGTAACCATCATAGTAGTGATTGATTATTAGTGACATTATTAATAGATACTAAGATTGGTGAGTGGATGAGGAACAGATTATTGGCATAACCTCAGAATATATCTCCACAAATACCAATTTCAAAGGGGATAATGGTGATACTATGGTGGGGAAACCTGGCAGACACCAAAATGACAAGATGATCCAGGCTAATACCACCATGGTCTGCATTGTGTGGCCCCTGACATACACACTGACCCATCTTTTCTGTGGTTACTACCAAGAAAGTCTGGTAATGAAGAAACACAGGACAAACCCAGAGTGACCAGATCCAGGACCAGAAAGGAAAGACTTTGTTGGGACAGTTGTTGAGATTGGAATGGGGTTTGTGGATTTGACAGTAGTGCTCTGTCAGGGTTGATTTTCTGACTTGCATATTTGGTTGGTGGTTCTGTAAGAAAGTGTCCTTGTTTTAGGAGAAGGCCTGGTGGAGTACTTAGGAATTGTGATGTATGACATCCATAGCTCTGCCTCATATACTCAGGAAAAGAATAATGATAACAGGATAGTTGATCAGACAGAGATACGAAGCAAATGCAGTGAAATGTTAACAGTTGGGGAATCTAGCTATGGGGGATATGGGAATTCTTTGCACTTTTCTTACAACTTACCTAAAGTTTGAAATTATTTCAAAGTAAATCTTTCAATCATTAGTTTTTTTTGAACCCACCACTTGTACATTGGTAGTCTTCCTTGCTGTAACCATTGCTATTAGTTCAGGGTGTAACCTTTAACATCTTCCTTTCCTGTATATTTAAAACCCATATATATGTACATAAAAGAATATATAAAAGGGGTACCATCTTACTTTAAGATTGGTTTTGATATCCAAATTTTAAATGACATAAGCATTCATGAAGTCTGGTATTTATTATTGTAGATGTTAAAATAATACAATTTCTGAATTATTATTAATTGTCTAGGATCGGAAAATGTTAAAACCGACTTCCCCAATGAAATACGAATTGTACCTCTGGTTGCCATGTGGTAATGATATTTTAACTAGGAAGCCTGAATGAATTTTATAATTTTTGGTATCCTGTGAATGGACCCCACTCCTGCACAAGTGCCCAGGAGGTCTTATGGGTGATTTGATGGGATTTGGGCTTCTTTTAAATTACAAATTGAAATTGAAAATATTTCTTAAAATCTTTAAAAGTCATCTAAATGAAGGAAATAAGAAGACCATCATTAGGCAAACCACACATCAATGATTACTGCAGACACTATCCATTAACAGATGCTAGTATTAAGATATTAATTAAAATGAGAAAAATAGTAACATTACAGCAGAAGACCCCGGCAGACATAACTTTAACAGAATGGTTAACGTGTCTCAGTAATAAGACATAGCAACATGATGAACTCCCTGATACGATGCTCTGCAAAGCACACATTTCTTAAGTGGTATTCTTGTCCCACACATACATCATCCCAATCATGAGAAAACATCAGACAAACACATAGTGGGGTCCATTCTACAAAATAACCAACCAGTATTCATCAAAATGTCAAGGTTGTGAAAGATCAGGAAAGACTGGGAAGCTGTCCCTTCAATCAAGTGACACTTCGCGCACAGAGTGCTGGTGTCACCCTCATGCAGCTCCACCTCGTCCTCCCTTCTGAACCTGGGGTCAGAGTCTTTGATGGCTTCTGAGAATGGCGACATCCTGCAGGTTTGCCCACTTCTTGGGAGATGAGTAACAAATCTGATCACGGAAATACAAGGTAAGCTCTTTTGGGGGGTTCTGTCTCTGTGATTTAGCTCTACAGAGAGAGAGCTCAAATAAGAGAGTTTTATCTTCCAGGTGGGATTCCTGTTCATTGTGCTGGGACCTGAGTCCATGAGAAAAATTCACTTGGCATGGAAACTTTATCCAGGGTGCCTTCAAGGTCCATTCATGTTGCAAGTGGACAGGATTTCCTTCTTACTCTGGGTGTGTGTGTGTGTGTGTACACATATATATACCACACCTGCTTTATCCATTCATCTGTTGATGGACACTTAGGTTGTTTCCATATCCTGGGTATTGTGAATAATAATGCAGTAAACATGGGAGTGCATATATCTCTTCAGTGTCCTGTTTTCATTTTCTTTGGGTATATATCCACTAGTGGAATTGCTGGATCATATGAGAATTGTATTTCTGATTTTAGGAAGACCATTCATACTGTTACCTATAGTAGATGTACTGACATACATTCCTACCACCAGTGTGCAAGAGTTCCCTTTTCTCCACATCCTTGCCAGCACATATTATTTCTTGTGTTTTTGATAATAGCCATCCTAACAGGTATGAGGTGATCTCTCATTGTGGATTTGATTTGCATATCACTGATGATGAGTGATGCTGAGCATCTTTTCATGTGCTTGGCCATGTAGATACCTACTTTGGAAAAATGCCTATTCCTCTGCCCTTTTTTTTTTTTGAAAGATTTATCTATTTATTAGAGAGAGTGGGGTGGAGGGGCAAAAGGAGAGAGAGAATCTCAAGTAGACTCCTTGCTGAGCATGGAGCCTGATGCAGGGCTTGATCTCATGACCCTGAGATCAAGACCCTGAAATCATGACCTGAACCAAAATCAAGAGTTGGATGCTTAACCGACTGAGCCACCCAGGTACCTCTCCTCTGCCCATTTTTAAATCAGATTTTTGTTGCTTTTGAGTTTTAGGGGTTCTTTATATATTTATTTGATACATGGTTTGCAAATATTTTCTCCTATAGGTTGCCTTTCATTTTTTTTATTGTTTCTTCTGCTGTGTAGCAGCTTTTGAGTTTAATGTTGTCCTACTTGCTGATTTTTTTTCTTCGGTGCTGTGCTGTTGGTGTTATGTCCAAACAATCATTACCAAGAAAGTCATTGTGGAGGAGCTTCTACCCTATGTTTTCTTCTAAG